ATGTTGTATATAATATTTTAATAAAGATCCTATATATTGAGTACGAATTCAAAAGCAACTCAATTTAATAAAGAAAACTGACAATGCTAAAGACTATTTTGTAGAACTTCAAGGTTCCACACCAAGCATAAATCTGGATGGAAGGCAATCATACCACCGAGACAAGTGAACTCTCGCACGCACCTCGACAACTGATGATGGAGTTCCCATTCCTTTCCTTCCCAATGATTTTCACATTCCTTCTCTTTCTTTTGTTCATGGTACTCAAAACCATGATCAATTCATCGCCAAAACTGCCTCCTGGGCCGCCGAAGCTACCTCTAATAGGAAACCTTCACCAATTTGTTGGATCTCTACCTCATCGCAGCTTAAGAGATTTGGCCAAGAAATATGGACCTCTGATGCACCTCCGACTTGGACAACTTTCTTTTGTTGTGATTACTTCCACAAAATATGCCAAAGAAGTGATGAAAACACATGACATTGTCTTTGCTAGCAGGCCTTGCAGTCTTGCTACAAATATCATATCTAAGAATGATATTGCATTCGCACCTTATGGGGATCACTGGAGACAACTTCGAAAACTTTGCATACTGGAGCTTCTAAGTGCCAAACGTGTCCAGTCATTCCGACCCATCAGAGAAGAAGCCATCTCAAATTTGATCCAATCTATTTCGACCCACACAACTGGATCTCTGTGCAATCTCACTGAAAAGATTTTCTCCATGACATACAGCATCACTACAAAGACAGCCGTTGGTAAGAAATTTGATGGGCAAGAAGAATTCATAGGGCTTGTGAGGGATACCATACAGTTATCAGGAGGTTTCACTATTGCCGATATCTTTCCTTCAGTTAAACTGCTTGCTTTGATAACTGGGCTGAAGCCTAGAGCTGAAGAGACTCATCGAAAACTTGATAAGGTATTCGATAAGATCATTGATGAACATAAAGCTAGGAAGGTGGCAACACAGAACGGTGATGGTGAAGCTGATCAAGAAGACCTGGTAGATGTTCTTCTAAGAGTTCAGGAGAAGGGTAATCTTGATATCCCTTTAGATATGACAACCGTCAAAGCTGTTATCTTGGTTGGTACATTTACTTTCAATGAATTAAGTCCAAAACCCTATTTACATTTTAAAATTTAGTTTTACACATTTGATCATCTTTAAACACCAATTTCAATATGTAATGCTGGTCCAATTTCAATGCTTTTTCAGGACATGTTCATTGCCGGGGTTGAGACATCATCTACAACTTTAATTTGGGCAATGTCAGAATTGCTGAAAAACCCAAGAGTTATGGAAAAGGCACAAGCTGAGGTGAGACGTGTTTTATGTAAAAAAGGAAATATTCTTAATGAAGATGACCTCCATGACTTGAATTACTTGAGGTTAGTAATCAAAGAAACTCTCAGAATACACATTCCTGGCGCTCTATTACTTCCGAGAGAGAGCAGAGAGAGCTGTGAAATCAATGGATATGAGATACCTGCAAAAACCCAAGTCATTGTTAATGCATGGGCAATTGCTAGAGATCCTGAAAATTGGAGTGATCCAGAGAGCTTTCAGCCAGAGAGATTCCTTAATAGTTCAGTCGATTACAAAGGGACTCATTTTCAATACACACCATTTGGTGCTGGAAGGAGAATATGTCCTGGCATTTCATTCGGGATAGCTAATATTGAACTTCCACTTGCAAATTTATTGTATCATTTTGACTGGAAACTTCCTGATGGAGAGAAGCAAGAAGATTTAGACATGACTGAGGTCTTTGGTGCAGCAGTTGGCAGGAAAAGAGATCTATGTGTGAGTCCTATTCCTTATCATCCTTTAGCTTAAGATATTAAGACAAGAAGGTAGAAAGCATTGGATGGTCATTATTGAATTTCCAGTTATCAGTCTTTAAAGTTAATTATCTTTACATTTATTAATAATGTAATAGTATGTTAGAATAATGTGTATAATCATACAGTAGAAAGATAAAATAAGAACAGATGTTTCTGTGGGTTTTTAGAGATAATTGAATAAAGAGTATGCTTCACTTATTGGCATTTTTACTGCAGAGTTTTAAGGTGCACTACAGAAAAATTGTGCAAAGCATCTGTAAATACTTTTTACGAGTTCCATGAATTAAGGTGGTATATAGTGATTCTTATTTACCGGATTCAAAAGCTTTGTAAATACCCATCTAGCACGTAGTAAATATTTTCTTTGCATGTTGTAAAAAGATTTTACCACATTTTTCACACTGTAAAAGTTTTTTTTTTTACGTCTTCTTGTTGAAAGCATTGGATGGTCACTTTTGAATTTTCAGTTTCTTGTAAGGTGAATTATGTTTACCTTTATTAATAATGTGATAGTATGTTAGGATATGCATAGCCATGCATATTGTTGAATGGAGGACAGGTGTTATGTGGGCTTTTAATGAATAAAAAAGTAAGCTTCACTTATTGGTGATTTTACATCAAAGTTTTGAAGTGTTTTAATCCCAAAAAAATTTGGCTGTTTGATTGACCCCATAAAGTTTGTTGAATTTAAAAAATAGTGTTAGTGGTGTTTGGTGAAGTAAAAACGTACTTTTAATGAACAGGTTTTTAATGAAATTGAGTAGATGCATTTGAAACTCCTATCAGAATTTATGTTCAGTTTCAAATATGATTTATCGACATGATTCATACTCGATTAGCAAAATAAAACAGGAATCTAATTTAGTATAGTATACTTGATTTAAACTGAATTATAAGTAAAATCCGATTCTTTTTAGATTCATACACATGTTCGATTTGAATTTATATATGACGACTCTTTTAAGAGAGATTCATATCATTCATTTCCTTTCTGAATTTGAAATCAAAATTAAAATCCAAACATGTCAAAAAGAAAGGAAAAAAAAAAAAAAAAAGACTTCAAATCACAATAACTATGCAATCAAATATGATCCATTTCAATCTACAACTCTTGCAATTGTAGAGATTTGTCAAGCATTAAATGGTGATCACTTGTCAGTCAGGTGGTGAGCCTGGTGATTACTGAGCCTGGTGATTACTTCCTTATTCAGATATCTTACAACATGAAAAGGATCATAACATGAGATGTACACATGCTTTCCATTGCCCATACAAAACCTCTAACTAAAAATGCAACACCATTGCTCTGAAAGGGCGCGCACACATTTAGGAAAGGGTCTTATTCGTTTTTTGTCCGTGTGACTGTGTGAGACATCGATACTTTACAGACACTCTTCAAATAATATCTAATACTTCATATACGTATTCGTAATTGAAAATTAAATTTTATTATTTTAGACGATTGATTGTTTCAGACTTTTCTAACACAAGTGTTATATACACAAATACATATAGAGTAATATTGTCGGTAATCTTAAAAATAATATGAACATATTCGAATGACAAAGTAATAAAATATATATATATATATATATATATATATATATATATAATATCGACATATTATTACATTTTCAAAATCATGTCCGTATTTATGCTACTTAGCAGTACAATATCGTTACTTCAAATTAATAATATCCATTATTTTGAAATAATGAGTATTGCACCCTCAAAAAAATTTGTCTAGATAGAATCTGAATACCCTCAAAAAATTTGTCGGGATGTTACTTAAAAGAAAATATTATATGGTTTGAAGTTACATCATCTTAATTAGATTAATATATAATTATGTAGTTAAAATTTTGAATAAAGTTAGACTCATGTATTTGCATGTTGACTTGTGATTTATGTATTAAGTAAATGTATCAAATTTATTTAAATATTTACTATGTGATTTTAATACTTGCACATAGATTAGTCGGGGCAAAAACCCCTCTACTTAGGTTATCGAAAAAGAAAAACCAATTCACTTAAAGCAATTACTCCTATTAACTAATTACTCAAATATTGAAAGAAACAGAATCAAATAGAGATTGATTTATTTTGGTTCTTGTTTTTATTTGGATTCTAGTTCTGTTGTAGTCATCGGCAACGGCTCCTACGGATATGGATATGACGCACTCGCAATCAAATTATCAAAATCGTTGATGATTCGATTATGTTTCAGATTGCCTTAGGCTTCTGCAATCGGTCACACCCAGTTCCATCAATTCCCCTTCAATTGATGCAGCATTTGTCGAATAATTTGGTCGCTGGTCTAGGTTTTGTGAATGGACTCGCCAACTGTGGTGATCGGTTTTGTGTGTGTGTTTTGAAGGTGGCAACTGTAGGAAGTGGATATGAGAGAGGGAATTGAGAGAAAGAAGAACAAGCTAGCGGTGGTGATATTTAACTACAGGAATTGGATCACAAAATTGGTGGTGGTGGAATTTGTCTCTACATATGATGCGGGATAGAATAATTTTAAATTTATATATTCAAAGTGAAAGGGTATGGAAGTTATTTTAATATATATTTTTTAAGTTAACTAAGAATCAAAATGGAATCAATGTTATTTTACATGCCAAAAAAAAAAAAAAAAATTGGAATAATTTCAAAAAAAATGAGCTTACATGGTCAAATGCCAAATTCATGAAGTCAAAGTTAATGTTTACAAAAATATGGAACTTATCTTGATTACCAAATTACCCCTAAACTCTCTTGGAAAATAACTATATTACCCTTTTACCAACTTTACTAATTAACCAAAAACCCGGATCATTGGAGAAGCCACCCTGTTCGCCGGCGGCGTCTTCATCCTCACGCCGAAACAGCAACAAAACGTCTATATGTGAAACCGGGCTATACAGTAACTGATGGTCAGGCCTATTGCAATTACATCAAGAAGCTTGGAACGAAGTCCACTAGCTAGGTTAGGTCCCTTGACAGTACTTGATACCAAACTAAGTAATTTGGCATTGATTGCAAGCAAGCAACTATAAATATTGATTCATTAGTAGCCACATCCCTAGATAAAATGGTTGCTGTCTCTGCTACTGCTATACATCCGCCTTAATTATCCATCGCTGATTATTATTCCATTTCATTTTCGTCCACGTGGAAGAAAGAAAGGACTTCTAGCCTCTTCACTTCTCACTCAGTTCACCAGGAATCAATTACATAAGGAAAAAGGCTTGTGGTACGTGCGGTTCAGCAGGTTCAACCAAAAAAATCTTGATATATATGGTGATAGAGTAGAGTAGGTTTTGGCTGAAGGGCACTGTCCCGGCCGATCCCATCTCCACTGCCGCCGGAACCATTCCCCGTACATCTCCTCCGTCGGTTTCGGCCTCCCAATTGATGGGCTTCTAGGTTGGACTTGTGCTACACGCAGCCTGTGGGGATCGAGCTGCCCGGTAATGGGTACCGGCACATGCCGTTCACGGCGTTGTTGCTGCAGCTGGTGAAGAAGGACGAGAAACAGCCAGAAGACTCGATTCAACACTAAAAGGTACGCGCCCCCTCAAAGACAAATCTAAAAATAAAAATAATAAAAATACAAGGAGAAATTTCGATTGGTGCAAGTAAACACTTTGTAAGTTTTAATTACTAGGAATAAAATAAAATAAAAAACACACTTTGTAGGTTTAGAAGTGTTAATACCGTTAGAGTGGGGGAAAAAAAGGTTTATAAGTCTTTACTATGCTTAATTGAAGAAAATCTTTTTAAGTTGAACATTTTGTTGAAAAATAGAAATATAAAGACAAATTTTTTATTTTGATTTGTAGTTGGTGCATGTAAAGACATAATAAGTTTATAAAGGTTAATACTGGTTAAGAAAAAAAAAAAAAAAAAAAAAAAAAATCCCTCCATTTAATAAAAAGTGTCATGTTTATGAGTTATGATTCTCTAAATATGATAATTTTTATGAGGAATAATACAAAAACAAATTTTGTATATCTTTATTATTTTTATTTGGTCCAAGTAAAGACTCCGTAAGTTTACAAGTCGAAAAAGAAAGAAAATGAAAAAAAAGTCTGGACGACTGGACTACACTTAATTGAAGAAAATATTTGTAAGTGGTTCAACAATGCAACGTAAGATATGACGCGGGCAAAGTTTGTCTCATCTATAAATTAGAGGGCAAAGTTCTCTGTAATTCACAGGCTTTATTTAATTTGTTCTCTCTGTTTCGCTTTTCAAGTACGGTTTCTCGTTCAACTCGAGCTGTAACTCATTAATTAGATTTATATCTATCCCCAAGCTCTGTAAGTCTCTCTCTTGCTCTACCTGGACATGCATCCACCTTTTTCAACTAATTTTATTTATTTACTATTATTATGAAAAAAGAAAGTAAATACTCTCAGCTAAAGGATTTGAAAGACTTGTAATCTTCTTATTTCTTTGCATAGTGTTTGTTGATGTTTATAGTGTATTCTTTGCATAGTAAGTGGAAATTGTTTGTTGATATTTATAATGTACGTAAGTCATAATCTAAATCACATTAAATCTTTATGTTTTGTGTGATGTGTGATTGTTACGTATAACTCTTCACGAATGGATATGTACAACTCTTCCCGAATAGATGTGTATATTCAAAAGACTTGTAAAATGACCCTCTCCTCCGTTTTCTCCTTAATTTGCATCCACCATTTTGTCGCTATAGAAATAAATTATATTTTCACACGTAACTAGAAGTCAATGAAGTTTCTGAATGCAATGAAAGGTTTCAAAAGACTTTTTAAATCATCTTCTACCCCATTATTATAGTACTATATTATGTCTTATATTGAAGAAACAAGCTAGTGGATATGAAATACCAATAGACTCTCGGTATAAACTCTTCTCGTGCCTGTGTTTTTTCTTAAACTTTCAACAAAAAATAAACAAAAAAAATTATAAATATAAATACAAATTAAAAAGGTTTTTCGATCTTATTTGAAAAGTAGATATGTTAAAAATATCTGCAAGTCAATAAAGAATCTTGTCAAAAGGTCTGATTCACCTGCTCATAAATCCTTCATTTGTAACATGTATCTAAATGTCTTTGTTGATTCAAAGCTAAACATTCACATATTTAAATGAGGCAAATATGGGACCAACTTAAAGCATCTTTATTCAAGAAACAAAGAAACCATTTATGCATACAAGCTAGAAAAGATGACTGACAATGCTAAGACTTTTTTGCAGAACTTCAAGGTTCCACACCAAGCATAAATCTGATGGAAGGGCCATCATACCACTGAGACAAGTGAACTCTCGAATGCAGCTTAACAATTGATGATGGAGTTCCCATTCCTCTCCTTCCCAATGATTTTCACATTCCTTCTCTTTCTGTTCATGGTACTCAAAACCATCATGATCAGTTCATCGCCAAAACTGCCTCCTGGGCCGCCAAAGCTACCTCTAATAGGAAACCTTCACCAATTTGTTGGATCTCTACCCCATCGCGACCTAAGAGATTTGGCCAAGAAATATGGACCTCTGATGCACCTCCGACTTGGACAACTTTCTTTTGTTGTGATTACCTCAGCAGAATATGCCAAAGAAGTGATGAAAACACATGACATTGTCTTTGCTAACAGGCCTTATTCTCTTGCTACAGATATCATATCTAAGAAGGACATTGCCTTCGCACCTTATGGGGATTATTGGAGACAACTTCGAAAACTTTGCATACTGGAGCTTCTAAGTGCCAAACGTGTCCAATCATTCCGACCCATCAGGGAAGAAGCCGTCTCGAATTTGATCCAATCTATTTCGACCCATGCAGCTGGATCTTTGTGCAATCTCACTGAAAAGATTTTCTCCGTGACATATAACATCACTACAAAGACGGCTGTTGGTAAGAAATTCGATGGGCAAGAAGAATTCATAGGACTTCTAAGGGATACCATACAGTTATCAGGAGGTTTCACTGTTGCCGATCTATTTCCTTCTATTAAACTGCTTGCTTTGATAACTGGGCTGAAGCCTAGAGCTGAAGAGACTCATCGAAAACTTGATAAGGTATTTGATAAGATCATTGATGAACATAAAGCTAGGAAGGTGGCAACACAAAACGGTGATGGTAAAGCTGATCAAAAAGACCTGGTAGATGTTCTTCTAAGAGTTCAGGAGAAGGGTAACTTTGATATTCCCTTAGATATGACAACCGTCAAAGCTGTTATCTTGGTTAGTACATTTACTTTCAATGAATTAAGTCCAAAACCTTATTTACATTCTAAAATTTAGTTTTATACATTTGATCATCTTCAAACACCAATTTCAATATGTAATGGTGGTCCAATTTCAATGCTTTTTTAGGACATGTTCATTGCCGGGGTTGAGACATCATCTACAACTTTAAATTGGGCAATGTCAGAATTGCTAAAAAATCCAAGAGTTATGGAAAAGGCACAAGCTGAGGTGAGACGTGTTTTATGTAAAAAGGGAAATATTCTTAATGAAGATGACCTCCATGACTTGAATTATTTGAGGTTAGTTATCAAAGAAATTCTCAGAATACACACTCCTGCCGCTCTATTACTTCCGAGAGAGAGTAGAGAGAGCTGTGAAATCAATGGATATGAGATACCTGCAAAAACCCAAGTCATTGTTAATGCATGGGCAATTGCTAGAGATCCTGAAAATTGGAGTGATCCAGAGAGCTTTCAGCCAGAGAGATTTCTTGACAGTTCAGTCGATTACAAGGGGACTCATTTTCAATACACACCATTTGGTGCTGGAAGGAGAATGTGTCCTGGCATTTCATTCGGGATAGCTAATATTGAACTTCCACTTGCAAATTTATTGTATCATTTTGACTGGAAGCTTCCTGATGGAGAGAAGCAAGAAGATTTAGACATGACTGAGGTCTTTGGTGCAGTAGTTGGCAGGAAAAAAGATCTATGTGTGAGTCATATTCCTTATTATCCTTTAGCTTAAGATATTAAGACAAGAAGGTAGAAAGCATTGGATGATCACTATTGAATTTCCAATTATCACCTGTAAGATTAATTATGTTTATATCTATTAATAATGTAATAGTATGTTAGAATAATGTGTATAATCATACTGTAGAAAAATAAAATAAGAACGGATGTTTTGTGGGTTTTTAGAGATAATTGAATAAAGAGTATGCTTCACTTATTGGCGTTTTTACTGCAGAGTTTTAAGGTACACTACAGAAAAATTGTGCAAAACATCTGTAAATACTTTTTACGAGTTCCATGAATCAAGGTGGTAAATAGTGATTCTTATTTACCGGATTCAAAAGCTTTGTAAATACCCATCTAGCAATTCGTAAATATTTTCTCTGCATGTTGTAAAAAGATTTTACCACATTTTGCACGCTATGTAAAAGTTTTTTTTTTTTTTTTTTTTTTTTTTTTTTTTACGTCTTCTTGTTGAAAACATTGGATGGTCACTTTTGAATTTTCAGTTTCTTGTAAGGTGAATTATGTTTACCTTTATTAATAATGTGATAGTATGTTAGGATATGTATAGCCATGCTGAATGGAGGACATATGTTATGTGGGCTTTTAATGAATAAAAAGTAGGCTTCACTTATTGGTGATTTTACATCAAAGTTTTGAAGTGTTTTAATTTCAAAAAAAATTTGGCTGTTTGATTGACCCCATAAAGTTCGTTGAATTTAAAAAATAGTGTTAGTAGTGTTTGGTGAAGTAAAAACATACTTTAGGATTAGAGAGCTGGGCTTTCTGGCAGCTCAAAACAGGCTTTTGGCCCCAAAAAAATCCTTTCCTAAAAAATTTGTGTGTTTGGCGGAGATATTGAAACGGGCTTCCAGAAAAAACCAATCGCTTAAAAATCCGTTTAGTGAAAGCTAGTAAAATCTGCTTTTCCAACAACTTCTCGGGATACAAGATCATTTTAAGTAACAAACACAAAACTTCCTATTTTGTCCTGTGTATTTTGTTCCTTTATAGATGATTAACTTTATTGAAATTATTTCTTAATTTAATTACAATTCAAGTTTCTCTTTCATGTTTCTATCCATGGATCATGGATGCCTGCTCAGAGATGAAATATAAATATGTGAACAAAATTCCTGTGTCATTTTCAATATAATAGATTATATTATTATTATTATTATTATTATATATAAGTTCATAAATATCTAAGAGAATGTTTGTATTTGTGGAGGATTTATGAAACTCCTTTTTCTTCAACTGGTATAGACAATCGTCATCTACGCTAAGCAAATTTGGTCACATGCCCTTTTGAAAGGTAGAAATGCTTTGGAATTTTGATGTGTACTAAGAAATGATATATATATATATACTTACACGAGTAGTGATCTCTTGCTTCCCATAGAGTAAGAAAATTCTTTCGCACTTTTTATAGTGACCATTAATCTAATGGTTATATTCTAAATTCACTTATATGCTTTCCTTTTAATACAAAATCAGTATCACTATTTCTAGTTTTCAAATTTAATATTTACCAATACCATAAATTATAATAATAAAAGGTAAGTTCTAAAAAAATAAAATAAAAATCTATTCACCTCTAGAAATCACGTCTCACCACTAATCAGAATTTTGTTTTCTTAAAAAATTTGCAAGTGTTAGAGAATTGCATTCATAACTTAATAGTTGATACTAAAGTTGGACATTGCCTATTTGTTTGAGTGTAAAAAAGAAATTAAAAATTACATTATTAACATACAAAACATCGACTAAAAAATAATAAATTTTTGTTTCATCTTTCTTGTTAATTTTGTTTTATTTTATTCCAGATTCTAACTAGTTATAAAAACATCCCAATTACTCATATGTCATAATAAGTCGGCACAATATCTTTTTTCTAGTTCTACTATAATAACAAAAATTTATTAACGTAATGAGGAGATTCACAACAAAAAATGTTATTATTCTATTAAATTTCATATTTCCTTTTTAAATTAGTTGTTTTTTCATAGTGTTTTCTTTAATATTGCTATTATTATGCTATTATTATACTATCATTATATTTTTTTTTCACTCTCATCATTTTTTTTTGTAAGCAAAAAAGGTATGAAAGTCTGTGTAAAGTAACAACAAAGACATCAAATAAAACAAGAATTTCAGATTAGTGGTAGTGAGACGTTCCAGAGGTGAAACGATTTTTATTTTTAGTTGTTTGGTAATTACTACCTTTTATTGTTGTAATTAGTGGTATTGGTAAATTTTAAATTTAAAAACAAAGTGGGTTTGTAGGGAAAGTGCGGAAAAATTTTCTTGCTCCATAAGGGCAAGAGATCATTACTCATATATATACACACATATATGAACCCATTGTGCCATTCAATTACATACAACCATTTTTATTATATTTTAATTGAATAATTTTACTTGAATACATGGAACATGTTTAGGTCATGGATAATGTTGGCAATTGAAAATTGTTCTAATTATCTCAAAAACTTTTAAAAATTCATTCACCAAACATCTTTTCATGACCGAAAGACATTTTAAACGAACAGAAATTTTCGAAAATAACACCACGAAGAACGCTATAGAGGTCCTGCGAACCGTTTGAATTTATATATGATGACTCTTTTAAGAGTGATTCATATCATTTCCTTTTCTAAATTTGAAATCAAAATTAAAATCCAAACATGTCAAAAATAAAAAATACAAAAAAAACTTCAAATCACAATAACTAGGCAATCAAATATGATGTATTTCAATCTATAACTCTTGCAGTTGTAGAGATTTGTCAAGCATTAAATGGTGATCACTTGTCTGTCAGGTGGTGAGCCTGGTGATTACTTCCTTCTTCAGATATCTTACAATATGAAAAGGATCATATCAATTGTACACATGCTTTCCATTGCCTTTACAAAACCGCTAAATAAAAATGCAACGCCATTGCTCTGAAAGCGCAAACACATTTAAGGAAGGAGTTGTAATCGTTTTGTGTTCGTGTTTACATACATTCCTTGAATACATATATGATACTTCATATACGTATTTACAATTGAAAATTAAATTTTATTATTTTAGACATTTGATCCATAGTTTTATATTTTTTTACACAAGTCTTATCTACATAAATACACGTAGAGTAATATTGTCAATAATCTTAAAAATAATATAAATACATTCGAATGACAAAAGAATAAAATATATATATATATATATATATCATTACAATAACAACATAATTTCATTTCAAAATCATGTTCGTAGTTATGCTACCAAGCAGTACAATATCGTTACTTCAAATTAGTAATATCCGTTATTTTGAAATAATGAGTATTGCACCCTCAAAAAAATCTTTCTAGATAGCATCTGAATACCCCTCACACTAACTAATGTCGGGTTATTACTTTAAAGAAAATATTAAGCAATTTGAAATTATATCATCTTAATTAGATTAATCAATAATTATTACATAATTAAACAGTAAAAAATTTGAATAAAATTAGACTCATTTGTTTAGATGTTGACCTGTGATTTACATAGCAAGTAAATGTGTGAAATTTATTTAAATATTTAAATATGTGTTTGACTTGCGATTGACCTTAATACTAGACTATGTAAGACTAATAACATCATGGGCAAGACGGAGTGAGTGACACCTTCTCATCGCTGTATTCGATCTCTCTACATTTCTTTCCTCCATCTCGATTCATCTAAAACCCTAAATTTTCACAACAAATCTACACGCAGATTTCTACCTAGTTAGTTCCAACTGTGAATTACTTTCTGAAATTTCAATCTCGACGGCATCAATTCTGTTACCACACCCAATGCGATGGTGGTCTGCAAATGCCCCAAGGTACTCTCTCTCTCTACACACACACGCTTGTTTTGTGTATTCATAGATCACTTAGTTATTAGCTCGCAATTTGATTTCTCTATGACCTTATGGTTTGTACAGTCAAGAGAGTTTAGATCGAATACAAATTCTAAGCGGTCTCTGAATTTGTTCATTTAAAGGTTTTAATAGCTAGAAATGTCCGTATTTGAGTGATTGAAGTTGTTAATGGAAGTTAATATGAAGTGTCCGTATTTGTGTTACTTAAATTTGAAATTGGGAGTTCTTATTAAGAGTTAATGCTTTGAATTTATTTCTTTATGATTCTTAAATCTGAAGACTAATTTATGTGGAGGTTTTGGGTCTCAGGCAACCAAGTTACACTGTTTCGTACACAAGATCCCTGTTTGTGGAGAATGCATATGTTTCCCGGAGCACCAAATATGCACGGTATGACATTTAATTCTACGTTTTTTGATTTTTGTCTTCTATTTCATATGCTAACATCTGGAAGATGAACTTATTGCAATTGGTCAAATTGTATATGATGAGTAACTTCTTGATTGACAATTTTTTTTCTCTGTCACTCAACGGTTTTTGTTCCATCTGGGTTTGAGGCAATTTTTTATATTTTATTTTATTTTATTATGTTTGGGCCTACTTGAGTGCAATGCCTTGTTACTCCTATCAATGTTTACATGCAATTTCTGGTCATATTTTTTGTTTTGAATACTTTTGGTTGAGTTTTTTTGTTTCAAACTTTGCATTTATTGTTTCACAATATGTTTGAATGCAAATGCTGATGATTTTCTTTTTCTTGGTAAGATAAAAATGTTGATTCTTTTCTAATTACTTGTTAATATACTAATTTGGGGTACATGAAAGAATAATTAAGTTTGGATCATTAACGTTATTTGCTGAGTTTTATTTTTATATTAAGGAAAGTGTTAGACTATAGATGAACTTAAAGAATTTGAGAAACCTCTTGTAAATAATGATGATTAAGACCCCTTTCTATGTCAGTAAAGACTGACTAATTTTGATTTGACTCTCTCTATCTCTCTCTAATCTTGTCAAAAATATTTACTCCTTAGATAGTTTGAAATTTCAAGCATGGTTTGCTGAGCAGTGGATTTTTGTAAATATTTTTATTTTTAAATGCAACTGTCCTTTTAAGCCAGGGTTGCTTTAGTGTCATTGTAATGATAACAGATCCAAGCCAAGCTTATGATCTGTTACAAAAGAATCTGAGTTGCTTAATTTTTTAAATGACTTCACGTTGTTATGAAAACGGAGCAGGGAGAGAGGGAGAAAAGAAATGGATAGAGAGAGTGAGGGAGAAGAGAAAATGGAGAGAGTATAGAGCGAAAAAGACTGTAAAGAGAGTTAATCGGGTCAAAAGAATTGATCCGAATCAGTTATGTTCTGGTAGATTGTGAGCCATTGGCATTATAGGTTGCTAAAAGGATATGTTGGTCATTAGGTAAAATATAAGTCACGTGCAATGCGTATGTGTACATTTTTGCTTCTTCTCTAACCGCATACAAACAACTAGAGGGTAATTGCAACGTTTTGAGAAACTTTAGGATTTTCTACAGAAATTAATAGTACCTGGAAAAAATGATAATCATGGGTTTTTTTTTTTTAAATATATATATATATATATATTTTTGTATTTTTACCCTAGATTTAAACCATCAACACAGTGACTAGTCTCTATAATTACATGGATGCTTTTCAGAAAATTGAGAAACTCATGGTAGTAAATCCATCTCCATAATGAGATTTTAATGGGAATAGACTCATGGTAGTAAATCCATCTCCATAATGAGATTTTAATGGGAATAGATCCATTTCCATCCCTGAAATGTAATGGGATAGATCCATCTCCTAATGATCGAATTCATCACAAGATTGACTAGTCCTTGCTGGTAATTGCATAGGTTCTCTTTAGAAGATTGAAAGGAGTGCTTTAAGGACTATATGCTCTTCCCAAGGGGTCTTTATTTGGAATGAATCGATCTTTGATACATGGCAAGGTGTTATAGAAATGCGGGAAATCCAGTGGGAGATTTTGTTCAAATTGGATTTTGAGAAGGCAAATGACCATGAGGATTGTGTGTTCTGAATAGGGAAATTTTTGGGTTGCGTTGGTGGTCTTGGATTAGGATATGCTTGTTTTTTGTGAAATTTGTGCTATTGTTTATGGTGAGCATAGAGGTTGGTTTAGGGCTTCTAGATGCTTTCAGGAAACACATATTTCTCTGTTTGTGGTTATTTATGTTCTTTCTTAGTAGGCTTTACTCTGCAGTTGAAATTGTGGATGTGATTGAGGGTTTTGTCATTGGTAACTGGTAAGAACAGAGAACTTTTTTCTCTTATTAGGTTATACCTTTTTGCTCCCATAATATATATTTTTTTTGATAAATTTTTACTCCCATAATATATGAAACATCATCTCAATAAAATGCATGAGGTGAAATGTTACAAAAAGGCACTTACTGGAAAAAAGAAATATTAAGAAGGCATCATCAGTGAACGGTGTACTGCCTAGGGCCCTAGGTAGAATGTCAAGAAGGGAAGATGGGAAACAAACTGAACCTTCACAAAGTGTCTGCTTCACAAATCACGACTTGAATCCGCATTTTCACACTCATCAGCTCGAGCTTTTACCATTGGATGAAGCAACAACCCCTGCTAGTAAAATATTAATTTAAAAAAGGGTTAAAATCATTAAACCCCCTTCTTGTTTGTTAAAACTTCATTTAACCCCCTATAAAATTAAATAACCCCCTCAACATTAATAATCTATCACGGTGCTCCCTTTATGTGACAGAGCCGTTAAGTGAGTGTTAAATGACTAAATTGACCTCCATATTTTATTATTATCGTAAGACTCAAAATGTTTACTATGAAAATGACGATTATACCCTTATATATAGGATTGTATATGTGTATACACACATGTAAATACATCCTCTTCTTCAACCTTTCTTTCTTTTGCTTATCCTTATCCTCTTTTTTTAGTGTTATCTATTTATTCTTTCGATTTTCTTAGTATCTAATCTTCCTTTTTATTCCATCTTTATTTTTAACATAATTTGTTCACGTGGAATCATTTTTTGCCGCCGGATTTTTGAATCATTCCTTGCTGCCGTTCCTATCCGTGCTTGCCGGTAAGAGCATCACCGCCGAGGACATCCTTGTTGTGTCACCACTAAGTTCATCTCTGTTGTCGCCAGACATCACCGCTGTTCCTCGCTGCTCATTGTGCTTGCCAGTAAGCTCGCCGTCGCCGAGAACCTCCATCATAGCCGCGTCCTTGCTCGGTTCATCTTTGCCCGCCGGTGGGTTCTTCATTGCTCATGACCGTTTCAACTCATCGCCGTCGTGCAACGCTGCAGGTCCATCGCCGTCTTCCCTCTTCCCCACCATTCCTAGCTCTCTGCTAACCATGCTCGCCACTGCTGCATATCTTCAATTAAAGTTACCCATATCACCACGGCTTCATAATATGAAAATGGGTCTGTAAAGTGACCCATATCTTCAATTACACTAATGGATGATTCCAACCTATAATAACACCAGTTTACAAACCCATCTCTTCAATTAAAATAATGAATGACCCATATATATTCAAACGATGAGAATGATTTTAGGCTTCTATGTTTGCTATGTTACAATGGAAGAATCAGATGAAGAATTGGGTTTGCAAATTGCAAGTGAGGCACATGATAATTGAATGGGGTTTAAGAGGGCAGTTTGGTCAATGCATGATTATGAGGGTAAATTGGTCAATAAATAATTAAATGGTTGCACATGACTCTCACGTGCTTTTCTCCCGTTAATTTCAGACTGCAAACTAACGGAATGGGGTGATGTGATACATCTTTGAAAAATTAAAGGGGGAATATGATAGTTTTTGTAGATGAGGGGCTTAGTTGATAGCTTTGGCAAACAAGAGGGGGGTTTTATGATTTTAACCCTTTAAAAAAAATATGCCCCATCATCCACCACTCTGAGTTTGAGGGGAACTTTTTTAACTCAATAAATTGTAAGTTTGAGAAAACTGGAAGTGAGAGAGCATATAGGGGCAAGGAAGACTTGCATATTGTAAGACTATATATTTAGCACGGTGAATAAAAAATTTTAGTGATGATTTTCATGTGTTTTTGTGTGCGTGTGCATGCTCATGCCACAGTGCTTGTGTTGTCCCTCAGTCAGGTTCTCAATAAATAATGGTAAGGTGACATTTTAATTTTACAAAATTTTTGTTTTGCCACATCATCCAATACTTCCGAATTTGAAGGTAACTTGCTGAACTGAGAGAGAGAGAGAGATCTTGTCTTGACAAGGAGCACATGCACAGCACAAGACAATATCTCTAGCTTTTCGTCATAAACTATGTTCATGTGTTTTTGTGAGTGTCAGTATGCTCCTGCCAGAGTTGTGCTTGTGTTCTCTCTATTAACTCAGCAGCATGTACAAATGATTCTGTTGTTGCTTAGTCATTTTATCAATACCATGGAGGCATGGAGTGAATCTGCATAAATGGGTGGTCTAGAGAATTTAGGTTTACTAGCCTGTTCACAGTTCCTCTTGAGTTCTGAGATTGATGTCATTCAGATGCAACTATGGTGATGTTTATGTCATTTGTCTGATGTAACTATTTCTAACGGTTATGATTTGGTTTCCATGTATTTTTATTCTGTGGACTCGCACTGTGTAAGTATCTCAAGAATGGTGTGTTTGGTTTAGATATTTGGAAAGTGTTTGGTTTCATTTTGAAAAACTGATTTTCATTTTGCTTTTATTTCCAGATTTATTAAAATGGAAATGGTAAATAGTTTGAAAAGAAAGTCAGTTTCAAATTTTTATTTTTTGGACCCGGTTGCCCGCTTTACAGGAATTTTTTTTTTTCAAATCAGTTATTACTACTGGTGTATAGTCTTTTCAGATTTTCTGTTTATGATCAAGAACTAAATGTGACGACCCTTGAAGACATCATATCTTTTTGTTAGTGATTTCCTTTTGGCATTGTAACATTGATTATTAACTTTTACATTTTTCCTTTTTTGTTCTTTTTTGGTGTTTTCTTTGTTGGGTCCGTTTGCACTTCAAGCTTCTCTTACTTATTTGGTAGGATTTCCTAGAAAGACATTAGAACTGGTTACTTAACCAACAGGCCAGTGGCCTAGCGGTACCAAGTTCCTACTTCTCAAAGGGAGGTCAGGGGCTTTGAGTCTCCATGAAGGCATGTGTGTGTGAGTACCAATTAGGAAAGAAAAAAACACTGGTTACTTATGTATGGCTATTTTCACTTTTTCATAGGATTATCTGTATTATTTTCTTGATAAGATATCTGTATCGTGTGTGCACGCATACACTGTATTTGAAGTTTAACTTTATCAAATGATATCTTGTTGGCCAGATAGGATTTTGATCTATTTGAGTGATGCTTACTTAAATTGTCAAATGTCGTAGGTTCGTACTTCATTAGAATGGGTCATAGCTGGAGAGTATGATTGGCCTCCTAAATGCTGCCACTGTCATGCTGTGCTTAAAGAGGAGTCTGATTCTCAAACTACTCGATTGGGTTGCTTGCGTATGTGATTCTGTGATATATATTTAAAATTCCTAAATGCAATTTTATTTATTTATATTTTTAATGTTTTTTAAAAATGAAATCCTGTTGAAGTCACACTGCAAAACTCACATTTCCTTTTTGCTCATTTTAGATATTATACATACGAATTGCTTAGTCTCACATGTTAAAAGTTTTCCGCCACACACTGCGCCAGCTGGATATGTGTGTCCTGACTGTAGCACTTCGGTAAGATTTATTTCAAGAAGTTATAAACAGTGTCACATCTATAATTGGTTTCTTTTGATTAACACCTGTCAGGATGTTGTAGTTCTCAGTCCTCAACAGTGTTTCAGATTTCGAATTAAGGTATACATAAACACATCTTGGTTTTCGCAAATTACTGTTAGCAAATGACGATTTCTCAATTTGATTAGTGATTGTGCTGAACGGGGCTTTAAAAAAAAAAAAATAATAAAAAAACTCAGAAAACGTAAGCATGCACTAAACTGCTTTATGTTACTGGAGCACAATTTGCTAGTGACAGATACAGAGAAGATGTGATCAGTTTATGAGTTAAGGTTTAACTTGAAGTGTTGTTTTTGTGCAAGGCTTGTGTATAGAATATAAGGATTACTCAATAACTGTTATTTGGAGTTCTAGGGATTGGTAGAAAGAAACAACAGTCATAGTCTTGTGTACTTACTTCCTAGAACATTATGCTTTTGGACTTCATATTGGTGAGTTACTGAGTTATTTTTATTAAAGATTGTGGTCCAAGAGCTTTAATTTTAGGAACTTTGAATAATGAGACGAGAATAGCAGGAGTAGGAGCCTATGATAAGTTCTGTGCATAAGTAGCTGAGTAAAATGTCTAGTGTTCTACACATTAGCAATGAGGAAGTGGTTATTTTTTCTTGTAAATTAGGATTTCTGTTGTTTTTTCATGGAAGATCTGAAGGAAACAATTGCTTTCTCCCCTCTCCCACCCCCAAACCACCAAAAGGAAAGAAAAACAAAACGGAACTTTTTTGCTTGTGAAACAAATGGAGTTTTTTCAGATAGCTTGACTTTTGCTCTAATCAATTAAGATGGTTTTAGCACTGTGGAATATAAAGAGAGTGCTAACTCTCTATGGAATATAAAGATAGTATTGAGTCCTGCAACTTAGAGGTGGAACTTGGCTTGGATTGGTTTTCCTGGTTTTGAGCCTGAGCCTAGTCATGACTCATGAACTGGTTCACAATTCCAAGAACCAAAATGACATTGAACTTCTCGATCCTACAAACAACTAATGTTAGAGTGAGTTCCTCTGTTCTGTTTGGGATGGTTTACATTTGGTCTAACTTATTGATAATATATGCAGAACAAGGTCAAATCTAACTTGATCCTGGCATTCAAAATGCTTAATCCTGGAACGCTTCAGTATGCATGACTTAGGCCTCATTATCCTTATTTAACTTAATGGATGAATTCAAACCACTTATTGCAATCAACGAATCAATAGTAGAGAAGAACTAAGGAAGTCATCTTAAATTGTGATTGGTTTCAGTGACCTCAATTCTTTTTGACATCTACTAGGAAAATCAAAATCCTTTGGAATATGCATCAGCAGATTACTCGTTGAGATTGTGGTGTTGATTTAGAAGTGCTTTGGTTGTGTTTGTTGCTTTGAGTGGTTTGTTTTAATGGTGCTTTGTTGTTGTAGATATGGCCTCCAAAAATTGTCAAAGATTCAGGATCCCATCTTCATTCAAAGCTGAAGGAGGCAATTATGCTGGTAATTCTGATGCTTTGCTCTAAACTTATTGCAATGAATTTGTTACTCTATTAACACTATTTGACTTTTTTTTTTTCTTTCCTTAAATGATCTTTTTCCATCAAACCGCACAAGTTTCACCGCATATAATAAATAAGATATTACAAATCGTCTCTATTAGTGGTCTTATTTTTGGAAGTTGTGCTCCTTATACTGTGCTAATATCATTATGAGGTGATATTTCCCATCGTCTTTGATGGATGAATAAAAACAGGAAAGAATGGGATCTTTTGTCTTTTTCCCATTTTCCTCAATGGTATAAATGAGGTGACTTTGGAAGTACTTTCATCTGTAAATATATGAGAATTCATTATGAGAGGAATTTAGATATTGAGGAGACATAATCTAAAGATGGTACTCTGATAGAAGTGTATACAAAGAAAGCGTTTTGGGCATGTTTGTAGCCAAAGTTATTTTGTCCAACCTATAAGGTCCTATATGTGGTGCGGATTATAATGCAACAGAGAGACTAAAGTAAATGAATCAGGCCAAGCAAGCTTTTGGCTATTACACCCCACGCCACGTAGATTGATACAAGGGCTGCAAAGAACCAGGTGAAGGGATGCCTGGCATTGTGTTTATGTATAATTCATGAGAGCTAGAGTCGATGGTCTTGATAATTAATCTTCCTGTGACATTATATGTTGCGTCTCCATGTTGCTGTCGTGCAGACTGGTCTCGAGAAGAACTTATTCGGAAACCATCCAGTTTCGTTGCCAGCAACAGAATCCCGTGGTCCTCCTCCTCCTCTTGCCTCAGATCCACTGATGCATGCATCTGCAACTGGAGGGAGAGAGCCTAATGCAAACTTGCCATCTTCAGTAGCTAAAGATTCTGAAGGTTACTCGGCTGCAGCTGGAACAGGGCCTACTAATTCTTCATTCACAGATATTGTGGAGATAGATGGTCCTAAATCGGCAAGTCCATCCCTGTCTAATCATCAACCTTCTCAATCCCAACGTCCCTCGAGGCAAAATAAGCTCAATTGGTCCAGAGAAGAAGATGAAGCATTATGCAATGCATGGATGATGATTGGGAAAGATCCAGTCATGGGGTCAACGTATTGGGAACGAATCCAAATTAATTTTCAAAGCCAACCGGGGGGCACGACAGCAAGAAATAGCAGTGGTTTGATGAACCGTTTTTCCTACCTTCATCCACTAGTAAACAAATTTTGTGGATGCTACAAAACCATCCAAGACACTCCGAGCAGTCGCTTCAACGCTGAAGATCTAGTAAGTTTATTACTTTGTAAATATTTTTAATTTCTTAATTTTAATTGAGAATCTGACTGATTCAATTATTGTTTATTTTTTATAGATCCAAACTGCTAAAGAACTGTATAAAAAACAAGTAGGTGTCGATTTTAAGTTGGATCACTGTTGGTATATTCTTCGGAATTCGGCAAAATGGCATAACCATTGCAACGCCCAACAAGAGAAACAAAAGCCAAATCAACAAACAAGGAAGAGAGACGTTGTTGATCTCGATAGTAATGAGCTTGGAAATTCCTCTGAATCGGTTTCAACAACACCAGGTTCATTTCAGAACAATCCATCTACTCCATCAACTCCTGGAGTATCAACTCCAGCTTCAGCAAACCTTGGTGATGATGACCCACCGGCCGGTGCTCAAGGTTCGCATGACTTACCACGACCCCTTGGACAAAAAGCAGCGAAGAAGGGTAAAGATTTTAAAGAACAAGACCGCATGGTAAACGAAGTAGGACTCGAAGGAGAGCGATGGAAAATCCAAGCCAAAATCGAAATTAGCTTGGCGCAAGAACGTACTAAACAGCTGGAGATAGAATCAAGAGAGAGGATGGCTAAATATGAGAATGAAAGAGTTCAAATGGAGTTTGAAAGAGATATGATGCGTCAAGATCCAAATAAGGCTCCGACAAAAGAAGCAAAAGCATGGATCATTGCACACCAAAAGGCGATCTTGAATAAATTCAATCAAGGAGGTGCTCATATGTAATATGTAATATATATAAATTTTGGCGGGAAAATTCCCGGGAAATCTGACCACTCTCCATAATCTAACTGTTAGTTTCTTTGTAAAGCAACTACGTCTCTGGTAGTCTTCCAAGTAGGAGAAAGCGGGAAATCTAACTGCTCTCTGTCACAGTGGATTTAATATTTATGGTCTTTGGATACATCATTGGTAAGAGTCCAACAAATTGCCATTTGATCTATGTAGTAATTTTCAAATTTTTATTTGTTCGTTGTGGTCTATCTACCATATCTTTGACTAGTATTTGCAATTTTTATTGTTATTTGCTTGTAGGCGTTAGATCTCTTGGTTTTTTTTTAGATCTCTTGTAGCTCTCTTGTTTTTTCATCTAGGCTTCGTTTGGATGGATGGATTAGAAAGGAAAGGAAAGGAAAAGGAAAGGAAAGGAAAAGAAAAGTGACTTTTGTGTTTTAAGTTACCCTCAAGGAGAGAAGAAAGACTGAAGAGATTTGGAAAAATATTACAATTTAAGGAGAGAAGAAAGTATTGAAGAGATTTGGAAAAATATTACAATTCAACGTACAATATTTATTTATTTATTTTTTTTTTAGAACACGTATATCGGTCTCACAATACATGTATTATTGAAGTCAAGAGTGTGGTTGAAAAGCGAGACTTCAACATATTAACAACCCACGTATTATTCAAGTCAGGAGTGTGATTCGAAAGTGAAACTTCAACATACAACATTTAGTCTCAAGTATTTAGTTCTTGTGTATATAAAATTTAACATTCAATCAATGATAACTTTTTTTTTTTTTTTTTTTTTTAGAAGTTTCTTTTTTTTTTTTTTTAGAAGTTTCCTATCATGAGTATATTATTGGTACAAAAATATTTCTTTATTAGGTTGCATAATTTTTATTACTTTTTCATGTTATAAATTCTTTTAACCAAATTACAATATTGATCATTGAGCATAGAATTGGTTGCAGCTATCTTTACAATTTTCATACTAATTACTGAGGAAATTCTCTTCTATTTTCACTTGGTCACAACACACACCTTATAAATTGTCTATTACGACATTATGACTTCTCATCCTTTTTTTTTTGGAACTTACACACACTATCTCCACTGAAGTTCAAACCCCTGACTTCCCTTTAAGAAGTAGGAATCTTGTACCGCTAGGCCACATGCCTGTTGGTACTTCTCATCCCCTTTTTGAGAAAGAATAGGTTATTGTTATTTTTACGAATTTCATATAAAAAATAGGTTATCATTGTCTTTACGATTTTCATATCCTCTATTTTCACCTCAATCACAACACACATTTTACACATTGCCCATTAGAAAATTTTTAAGGAATGATAGGTTGTTGCTATCTTCATGGTTTTTATACTGATTACCAAGAAAATTCTTTTCCAAGTTCACTGTGTCACAAATCACAATACACAGTTTACAAATTGTCCACTACCAAAGTCCAGCTCCTTGATCCTTTTTTAAAAAGAAGAGGTTACACTAATGGAATAATGATCTATTGGCCACGTGATAGTGTTTTACTCTTCACAAATAAAGATCTAATCCTAGTTGGCTCAAGAGTGAAATTAAACCCTGGACCATCCAATTCTTAACCACTAATTCCTAAACGTTTATTATTTAAGAACTACATATTATTGCAGAAAAATCAAAATAGATTTGTGGTTTTTATTTTTTGATTTTTTATTTTTTTGTGGTGTTTATAAATAAAGTTTAGTAGTCCAAAGCTAATAGACCCACGTGCAGCCCTAACGCATGTGACCAAGTGATTATTGTCTTTACTAGTACCATTTTAGAGCGATGCATGATTAAGCCCAATGAACCTATTACCACTTCAACCAAAGCCCAAAGACAAGTAACTGATGAATTCACAGAGAGAACATTTAGTTATCTTTCTCTTAAAAATAAAATAAAATAAAATTAAAACAAACCAAAAAAAAAAAACAGCCAAAGTGTCTCAAATGGATGCATATTGAATTTGATGATCATTCTTATAGTTTTTGAAATTTTAATTATGTTGTATTATGAAATTGACTGTATAAAATAAATGTTATTGATTTCCACTTTATTTAAATTTAATGAGCACGACAATCATGCTTCATTTAAATTTGATGAGCATCCACATTTCTGAATAGAGCAACAAAAAAAAAAAATGATTTTAAAAATAATAAATTCCATGAAAAATTATTGAAGTGCGTGTGGAAACACGACGTCTCACAAAATGTGTGGACAAAATTTATTCTCAACAGGAGTATTATTTGAAGATTGGTTGAAAGGGAAATCCACGAAAATTAGGCGGTTGACTTATGCGGCTATGCGTCACGTAAGAGAAAAGAAAAAGGAAAAGAGCCTATCAACTATTACAACCACAATAATTACTTTACTTTAAAGCGTGTATGTATATATATTATATGTGTGTGCAATTTGCACACACTATGCACAACTGCTACTCCAAAATGCGTGGACCGACATAAGTTTCAAATAGGAGCTAATATTTGCCCAAAAGCATGGCATTTGATAAAATAGCAGACTTTAGTTTTAATAACCTCGTTTTAAAAGATATTTTGATATATAACAAAAATATCATGAAATGTCATTAAAATACAAAATATTAATTTTCATACTAATTTTATATATATATACATTTTAAATTTTTTTTAAGGGTTTAATCAAGTTTCTTTTTTTTTTTGAAAAAAAATTAAAATCACGTAGGGTAATATAATGTTTATAAAATGGGAAAAAAATAAAAAGGTAATAAAGTTTTCTGGTTGGATAGATTTTTTTTATTATTATTAAATTATATAATGGTATGAAAGACATTTCACATTTTTAGAGATGTTAAAGTAGTGAAGGCTAGATCCACTTTGAATATGGCCCAGAAGTTTATTTACTAGGCTTTGGAGCTTAGTAAGTCCAAAGTTTGGGATTTGATTCTCGCTGGGTGTTCTTTGTGGCTAGTATTTGCTATCCCTATAGTGACTTACTCGATCTGAGTGGGGAGGGGTTCTAAGGGTTCATGTCATCTTAGACACCCCGGGTTAACGAAAAAAAAAAAAAATAGTGAAGAGGCTCTATGGGTATGTAATTTGTTCAAACCTTTGGAGAGGCCAGTGAAATTTATCCAAAGAAAAAAAAAACACAGAGAATATTTAATGAATAAAAAAAAGTTTGCTTTTTGTAAAATTCTACAAAATTTAATACAGATATTATAACTAAGAGGGTATACTATATACTAAATAAATAATCTAAAAAAAAAAAAAAAAAAGGGAGAACAAAAAAAGCATAAAAAAATCATACATGTATGGACAAAAATAACCGTAGAACTTTCCTCTGATCTCCCATCTAACTTTCGTAGACAATATATTATCAATTTTATCACATGCTCTGATTACGATTGTGGTCTTGTTTGAAGTTTGAATACAATATTGGTTGGTTGTTAAACATTTCCATTTTTTTTCCATTTCCTTTGGTCCCAAATAGTTCAATACGAGCCAGAGATTTCTGTTTATGCTTCTTCAATCACCAGGTAAAAACTACAATATTTCTTCAAATCTTTTATTGTCTGTCTAAATATTTTATTTGCGGTCTCGATTCCTTCTGCTATTTCATTAATCAACTCAAAAAGGTCGAAACTTTTCTGGGTTCTCTGTTATTCGGAATGTTTCGATACTTTTTGTTGCTTTATTTTTTTTTTCTTCTTTTATATTTTCCATTGAATCAAATTTGAGTAAATATGAAATGGGTATGCTGCAATAGGAAAGATTTGAATGGTATTAGCAACAAAAAGTAAGAATTTTGATGAAAAAGTTAAGTTAGTGACTCGTGTATGCGTGCTGTGTATGTATATATTTGTGTTTCTATGTGGTATACATGTGTTTAATTATTCTGCAGACTCTGCTACAAAAGAATTCATTTAATGCCTGTAAGATTGGAAAGGGTTTTGAGGGCCAGCTATAAGGTTGCTCCATTGTGACCTCCAATGGAGGTCAGGGTGTCGAAACAAGGAAACAGCCTCTCTATGCATAGGTAAGGCTACATCCTACCCTCCCAGACCCCGGAATGGCAGGAGCTTCGTGCACTGGTTTGCCTTTTTCCAAGATTGAAAGGGTTTTGCTGCAATTTTACTTTTGTGGAAGTTTTTGAGATTTTTGCATTGGAGCATATGAAAATTCTGCTTTCTGATGAACTTTGTTATTGTATGATTTTCCAATTGCATGCTTGGTGCCACTTCTCTAATGTGTAATCCATGACAAGCCCATCATAAATTACATAGGCAGGAACATGTCATATATAAATTGGCAACGTACTTGCAGTAAGCAAAGATTTTCAATAGTCTGATGTTAGCTTGAAGGAAAAAACCTAACTAATATCTTACCTTCGACTCTGGTGTTAATTTATCTGTGACCAGAATGGAACAAATACCATCTTGAGATATGGACAGTTACACATGGCCCAATTTTAAGTGGAGGAGTTAGTTTTATCAGTTCCTAAACAATGAAAGATAGATGATTTGAATTTTGATTTCCTATTCATGTTTTCATATCTTTTGTTGCAGAATCAAGATGGCGCACTAAATACTACCTATATATATATATATATATATATTATGCATATATATAATACACACACACACACACACACTTGTTTCTCTATGTTCTAAATCAACTACTATGATTTCATTCCACTGATCATTTTGTATGTTGATTCTGTTCTAACATAATTTTGGCATTACAATTAGCCATCTGACTAACTTCTTATATTGATCCTTATTTCACTGTTTTTATTTTTATTTTTTAAAGGTGCTTTAATTAAATAGGAGTGCCAAAGGAAAGTGGAGATCTTGAATTCTCTTCAACCTACCAGATTTGAGTTTATTAATCTTCATTTCATTGAATAATAATTATGTCAATTGGTACTTCTGAGGTTGTTCTTCAAGTTCTGTGCGGGGCTCTACCTCGCCTTTGTGGTTCTGATCCATGTTTTAGCAAATCAGACTCAGAATATCCTTCTAAATCTTATGTTAAATCAAGAAAGAGAAGAAGCTCAATGTATATGCAATTTCTCAACTGTTCAAGCGTGCTAAGAAATAGCATTGGCATTCATCAGTTTCCTGGTATACGTAGTGTTTCACATGGAAGTATTTCAATTGATCGGTTAATGCGCCTAAGTTGCAAATGCCAACAGGCCGAAAGAGTGTCTAAGGGTGTAACTCCAGACGATGGTAATGGAACATGGTACGTAGAAAACGCAAAGAAATTAAATACAATTAATGGTATGGTGAATGCACCAAATGTTTTTGAGTTTGAAAAGGTTGAAGAGGTAAAACAAGAAAAGGAGAGTTTCACATCCAATGGTAACATAGCTGCATCGGGAACAGCAAGAGATAACTTGCACAAGGTTAGTATTGACTCTATTGAGGATGAAGCGTGGGAACTACTGCGGGAATCTATGGTTTATTATTGTGGTAGTCCTATTGGAACAATAGCTGCACAGGACACAACCGGTTCCAGCGTTTTGAACTATGATCAGGTCTTTATTCGTGATTTTATACCTTCTGGTATAGCTTTCTTATTGAAGGGAGAGTATGACATCGTTCGCAACTTCATCCTTAACACACTTCAGCTCCAGGTAATTGCAGTGCTTCTGTTTCCATTACCTACTTGATACTAGCAACCAAATGTTTGCATATCCTTTTCTCTCATCATAAAAAAGTCTTCAACCATCCAGTGGTAATACAACTAAATTATCTATTTGTAATTTTTATATCCGTGTTGTTGAGATTTTTCTTAAAATATCTAATGTGCTATTGGGTGCTACGAATGTATGTTTGGAACATTTTTAGTCAAATGGAGACTCGTGCGTAAAGAATTGCAGCTTCTATGATAAAGACAGATGCTAAAATTTTCCCTTCGATTTCTACTTCTAATTCTGAACTTGGAAAAATCTAAGCAGCAGTGTGCCTTCTGCTGGTTCATTATTTGCCCAATACTAGTGTGATATTTGTTAATCATATAAGTGAAATCCTGAATGATAATAGTTGTCAAGTGTGGTTGCATATGAGCATATACACACTATTTGCATATACTTTGTATGTAGTAGTTATGTTACACCAATTCTGTAATTATAGACATACTATTTGCATGCATTAGCATACATGACAAATATTTGGGCTTTTGCTAGAACATGGGTGAACAATCGAATATCAATGCCTATGTCATTGCATTGTTCTATATTTTTTCACAATGCAAGCTTTTCACTACACTGGTTATATAGTTATATACCACATATATGCTACCCTCGGCAGGGTGTTTGAATGCATGCACATATGAAAATATATTTTTTTCATAGTTGGGTACTCACACACACTCATGCCTCCATGGAGGCTTGACCCCTTGACCTCCATTTGGGAGGTAAGGGCCTGATACCGCTAGGCCACTGGCCCATTGGTCTCATATGAAAATATTGCTTACAAGTTATTAGTGAAAATGATTAATCATAAGTTGGTTATATAGTGTATTTATCCGTTCGGGTGTACATGACTCCTTATTTTGCAGAGCTGGGAGAAAACTATGGATTGCCATAGTCCTGGTCAAGGGTTGATGCCCGCTAGTTTCAAGGTCCGCACAGTTCCTCTGGATGGTGATGATACCGCAACAGAAGAGGTATTGGATCCTGATTTTGGAGAGGCTGCAATTGGCCGTGTTGCACCAGTTGATTCTGGTAAATAAAATGTCAGTTAAAAAAGTTTATTATGAGAAATAAAAATCTCTTTGCATTAGGATTTCATGTGTGAATTTTTATGCATCACATTATGTAATTTTCAGGATTATGGTGGATCATACTGTTACGTGCATATGGAAAAAGTTCTGGAGATCTCTCTGTTCAGGAGAGAGTTGATGTTCAAACAGGAATTAAGATGATACTAAGGCTATGTCTTGCTGATGGCTTTGATATGTTCCCAACTTTATTGGTGACTGATGGTTCTTGCATGATAGATCGCCGTATGGGAATTCATGGCCACCCTCTGGAAATTCAGGTAAATAAGTTACTCAAGCCATTCTTAATTGGATGTGTTTCAGATTACTAAAAGAGAAGAAAGTTTTCTTAGACTCTATAGCCATTATATTATTAAGCAAGACATGAATATGAAGTGATAAAGCAATCCATATGTACACATTTTATAATAATCAGCAAGCTGTCAAGATTTAAGTCAAAAGACTGATAAAAGTTAGTATCCAATTTTTCCTTCTTGAAATAATGGGGGGAGTGAATGATTAAAATCCTAAAACACAAGAAATAAAAAATAACAATTTTACCTAACTTGCTAATAGTTCTACTTAGGTTGTTATTTATGTGTACACGTGTCAAAAATATTATTTCGGTTTTACTACCATATTATATTTTCCATGTCTACAATAGCCTAATGCTATGTTTTATTATAGTAATTCAACATTATGCAGAAATATTAGCTTTAGAATCTTTTATACTTGTTTTTTACTAGTGAAGAATCGATTGATGTTATATGATAACTCTTCCGGATCTGCGTTAAATCCTGATTTTCACCCTAGTTTCCTTTCATGTGAATGGATATCTAGGCCTGATTCAATGAGTCAATTATGTGGCTTATCTTCATGCATTTATATATTTTTATTATATGTTTTCAAGCGTTTTCACGTTTTCCATCCTTTTTTTCATTGTGTTCTCAGTTTTCACATTTCAGAAACCGAAACAAAATTTTAATCCTTACCATGAGAAGATTCGACAATTAAATTTTACATTGCCGAAACAAAGTTTTGGACTTAATATTCTCTGGAATAAGTATTAATAAACAAGTTGTGACACCCATAGAAGCCCTGGACAGCTTCATTCAATACAAATAAATTTATCAAGACATATGATCCTTCTTTTCTGAATACTAGCATGTGATGCACTCTAATCAAGTGTTACTTACCTTATAATATCTTTAAATTTATTTATTCGTTTAAGGGGATCCATTATGTTATTTTTATGCTTCTATTGAAAAATTTGAATTTCCTACAAATGAGGGGTTGTGGTAGTTCCGAAAGATGTTTAAAAAAAGTTGTAAGGGTATTACTAAAAGAATGCTCAGAGCACCAGAATGGTGTTCTATTTATTAATTATTAATAAATTAAAACATAGTTCTCTTCATACAATCAATTGTTAGTTTGCGTCGTCTGCTGCCACTCCTAAAGGTAATGGTTCAGGGTTCAAGTCCTGACTGGACAAGGGGACAAGGATGTGTATTGTACTTATCAGATTAAGGGGAAAGATAGAGTTCCCCTTATGATGCTTAATGCATTGAAATGGATCAAGGGGTAAATTTTGCTTTGGCCTGGTCACATTGTGTAATTGATGGAGATACTTTCATGCTTCTGAGGTTCATGAAGGTGGCGGAAGCAAGAAAGAGAAAAAATAATCGGAGGACCTCCAGCTGTTGGTTTGAGTGGTATGCTTTATTTGCTGTGTAAAAGATCATTGAAAAGCCCCAAAGGAGGCCCAGTCCAAGCATACATGAAGTATACAAAAGAGACCCTTGTTGATAGACTAAAACCTACCTAGAATTTATACTGCCTAGTGCCTATAAAATCAATAAAAGAACTAGATACCCCTTCCTAGAAAGTGATTTGTCCAAATATGGATTAAAACCTCCCGCACGGCCAATTTAATACAAGTGGAGGCCTAAGGTGAAATCTTGTAACCTTATTGAGGATTGGATATCCAAATCTTTCCATCTGAAATAATTTATTTTCCCTCCATTTTTCTTGTCAATATGAAGAAGTTTTGAGTCGTATCTCCTACAACTCTCCAAGAGATAGGTTTACAATTCACATCCTGCTTGGAACACAGATATGTATGGTACTTATCATGAAAATAATAATAAAAAAGGGAGAAAGAATGATAAAGAGTGAGATACACTTGTAAGTTGTACGAATAATTGAAGTTCAATTGTGCATGTCCAATTACTCAGCACCTTACTTGTTAGAAGAAGAAAAGAAAATTAACATTTATGTGTTTCAAGTAAAAATATAGAACATGGTATGCATAAGATAAATGGAGGCTGGCTACTTCTATTTTTGTTTATTTATTAGACACTCTCTTGTACCCTTTCCTTGCGACTTTGTGGAAAGGGGATTTCAAGGTTTTGAACCTTCATAGAACTTGTGTAGTTATGATGAAGGGAATATAGTTGGACAATGCCCAGCCTTCAGCAACCCTCTACAATTCTTCATTGGTTGAGGATTTTGGGTTCTGTACACTTTAAGGAATCTATTGTGCTTCTTTGAATGTTATAATGACAATGGAGGAGTGCCATGTCAAATGAACCTTAATAGTCAAAACTTTGATATTTTTTATTTATTTATATATTTTTTAGTACCTAGATTTTGATCATTCTTTAAGCTCAAATGCAAGTTCCACACAAGAAGGTGCATTATTATTTCCAAATCACAGATTAAGAGGAAATTTGAGAAGATTTTTCGTGAAATTTGGTTGAGATTTCACTTTGAATGGTATCACTAATTGATTGTGCACATTATTACTCACACCCTTTATAACGATCAATTGATAATACAATTGGAACTATATTTCGGGAAAGCCTTGTTCGGGTGAACCCCAAGGGTGTTTTTCCCTCATCACAAATCTCTTCTTTTGCTGGATGCGAAGTGTTTAAATTATCTATCATCCCATTGCTAAAGTTTCATGATGGCAAATATTTTTGAGAACTCAATAGAGTGAGACATCTGAGTATTGTATGCTTTAGTATGTTCATTCATGTCAATTCACATCGTTAAGATTGTGGTTCTGTAAACTAGATAATTTGAGGTATGTTTATGTGTACAGTGGTGAATACCATGTTCTAGATTTTTACTTGAAGCACATAATTGTGAATAATGTCCCCATAGTTTACTTTTATCATCCTTTGAACATGAGAACAAGTAATATGGGCACAGAAATAGAGGGAAAACTCTTACTTCAATACATGATTTAAAAGTAGAAATGAAAGATTCTTTGAAAAAGTTTACACCTAGATCATAGATCGTGACGAATTTAGATTGAGTGGGCTTAAATTGCAAGCCCTGGGGATAATACAGCTTCGTTTTAGGGAGTGTGCTACAAAGCTAATGAAGCTGGTTTTATTGTATGCTCTTGAGAAAGCAGCGGACTTGTACATGATCAAAGATATCAGACTGTTTACTGTGATTCTCATTCTCCAAATACAAAGATCAGTCAACGATTAAGAGATTAATCTACTTAGTGGATCTTTAAGACGTGATTTGTTACAGAGAAGTTGTTTACTATTCTAACTGTATGGTTTGCTTCCCCTTCAAAGTTCTTCAACTTTTTTTTTTTAGTTGAAAATACACAACTATTGTGGTGTGTAAATTGCATCATCTCTTAGTAAGGGCATCTGATGTTATAATGGCCTTTGTTTAGTGGCATGTCGCTAGGTTTTCCCTTCATAGAATGAACAAATGAAGTGGCTTCCTGCAATGATAAATAAAGAATCACTTGCTTGCTGTGCTGAAAGGGGGATGGTTTAACAAAGGCGTGTTCGCGAGTGGATAATTGACTAGATAATTGTTGAATGTGTATTTACATATCTTGAACTCAATGTTTAAAAGAACCGAAATATAGAACATGATAAAATGTTTTGACTTGCTATTTGGCACAGATTGCCTTATAACATGGGACTAGAAGAATCCACAGACCAGTTTTATGTGAACAGTGAGGGGAAGATTGTAATGAACAATACAAAAAGGATTGCATGAGTAAATGGTGATGACCATCAAGACTTATAAGCTTTACATATATCTGATGCATTATACAAATTTAGGTTATCTTGCATGTCATATAGCCATATAGGCATGTTTTAGCATGCGTCTTATTACTCTATAATTATGGTAAAATGTTGCCTTTTGTTGTAGGCACTATTTTATTCAGCATTACTTTCTGCACGTGAGATGCTCGCTCCAGAGGATGGATCAGCTGATCTCGTCCGAGCACTGAACAATCGTCTTGTTGCATTATCATTCCATATCAGAGAGTATTACTGGATTGATCTGAAAAAAGTCAATGAAATTTACCGTTACAAGACTGAAGAATACTCGTATGATGCTGTTAATAAGTTCAACATCTACCCAGATCAGATTCCTCCTTGGCTGGTGGAATGGATGCCTAATAGAGGAGGCTTTTTGATTGGGAACTTGCAACCAGCTCACATGGATTTCCGTTTCTTTTCACTAGGGAACTTGTGGTCTGTAGTGAGTGGTCTTGCAACAGTGGATCAGTCACATGCAATATTGGATCTCATTGAAGCCAAATGGGCAGATTTAGTAGCAGACATGCCATTGAAGATTTGTTATCCTGCACTTGAAGGTCAGGAGTGGCAGATTATCACAGGCTGTGATCCCAAGAACACGTAACATTTCTAGACTTTGCTTTTGTTTTTCATTCTTTGTTTTCGGATTAATTTTTATTTATTTATTTGTTCATCTCACCCTCTCTCATTGTTGTTTTTAATGCAGGCCTTGGTCTTACCACAATGCAGGTGCCTGGCCCACGTTGCTCTGGCAGGTAGTCATTTGTTTTAGAATCTCGAGTTTGATGATAAATATTCATGCTTTATTGTTGCGTTAAATCAATTTATTAACCAATTTCATTTCATAGGCATTTTGGAGGTCGAAAGGAAAGTGTTTTGTGTTAAATTACACCACATACTCACAAGTCTTATTAATTCCTTCTATCGGCCTAAATTGCATAGGTGCAAGTTTTGGAACTCTTAATGGTAATGGCATCCTTTGAGGATGATTTTTGTTCTGATTTTCCTTTTTGAAAGATATTTAGGATCCTGCTGGATGATCAGCTGGGTATACATTTACATGTCTGCAACTCTGCACCAATACCACACTATAAAATATTCAGGATACCAGCTCCTCGAGGAGCTTTCTGTCATCAATTACCAACCTATTCGGGTGAACATAAACCATTTTCAGACCTTACCCTTGTAAACATGTAGAGAGTACGAAATATTTGACTTATGTTGATATAACCGGATTGGTTTTTAGCATAGTATAGTAGTAACATGGATGAGCATAAATTAACAAAAAATTCAGTGTGACGTATTCAATTGGCCTCTTGCAGCTTACTGTTGCATGCATTAAGATGAATAGACCAGAAATTGCGGCGAAAGCTGTTGAGGTTGCAGAGAGGCGCATATCACGGGACAAGTGGCCCGAATATTATGACACCAAAAGAGCAAGGTTCATCGGGAAACAATCGCGCCTGTTCCAGACCTGGTCGATTGCAGGATACCTTGTGTCGAAACAACTCCTTGCTGACCCCCTAGCAGCGAAGATTCTGATCACTGATGAGGATTCGGAGCTTATCAATGCGTTCTCTTGCATGATCAGTGCTAACCCGAGAAGAAAACGCGGTAGGAGGAGCTCAAAACAGACCTACATTGTATGAACTGTCTTTGGACATAACTTATTCAGCAGAAAGTAGTTGATTCTTTATTTCTTACTGTATTCATGTAAATATGGGGTTTCCACACACCCCTTTTAAGGTTTCAAGACAGTCTCTTATTTGCTGTTATTTGTGATTGGGCTAATTAATAAATGTAATATAGTTCACATTTTTATTTTTTACATTTATTTATTTATATTTATTAGCATGTATGTTAAAGTTGGTTTAATCAGACAATTTTTAATTATTTTTATTTTTATTATTTTTTACATGGCAAACAAAAACAAAACAAAGCAATAACAAAAACTTGCCCACCACCCAACTGAGCAAGCAAACCATGGAACACCTGACTAAAAAGAGAATGCTGAGCAAGTGAAAGGTTTGCAACATCATGAGCCACCGTATTTGCATCACGATGCACATGAGTAATCCTAACAACATGAGAATCATTCAAAAGCTGGTGAATATCATAGACCAAGGAAAAAATGGCTGCAGGACAAACTCTATCTCTCCGCACAGCCTCACATAACACCAGAGTATCAGTTTCCACATACAACGAAGGAAACTGAAAATCCCGAGCTTTGCATACAACGAAGGAAACTGAAAATCCCGAGCCCAAAGCAAAGCCTCCCACAAAACAAACACCTCTGCCGAAAGGGCTGAAGAAGCTTTAAAAGACTTGAGCACCACCACTCGCAAAACGACATTGCCATGACCGCGAAAAACAATTCCACCCCCGGCCCAACCTTGACCAGTAAGGAAAGTAGCATCAACATTACATTTAACGGATCCAAAGTCTGGAGGCTTCCACCGAGCACAACAAGAAAGAACCTTGGAAGGATCAACTCCCGACACGTCCATGCTAAGCTGACAAGCATCTCTAAACTCCCAAAAGGCTGCCACTGCCAAGCTCACAACTCCCGAAGTGGTAAAAAGTTCTCTCTTTAAAACCAAACTATTTCGAGCTTTCCAAAGTGCCCAAGCAACAAAAGCCACCATATCCTGCACATCAACCCCAAAACTGTATGCACATAGCTAACCACCAATCCTCAAAAGACTGACCAGCCCAAGTTGTACCATCCAAACGCAGAGGAGAAATCTATACCATCCTCACTAGACTGAATAGCCTTAGGGCATCGGAAAATAATATGCTCCACATTGTCAGGTCCTCACCACACTCCTCACAAAAATCATCATGCACCAAGCCCCTGATCATCAAAGCAGACTTCATTGGAAGCACCCCTTGAACACACTGCCATAAAAATGTTTAATCTTCTGTGGACACCCACAATTCCAAATATGTGACTAGCTCTTTGGATTACAATTTTGATTATCTACCTGAGGCGCAAGAAGAGAAAAGGCCACGTGATAAGCTGATTTAACCGAAAAAATTCCATATACCCCAGATTTGACGATCCGCAAGACCCCGCATGCTAATGGGAATCCCACATATAGCTGCCACAACCTCCCCAGAAAACAGCTGAAAGAGGAGATGACTTTTTCACGAAAAAGTAGAATAATCAATGAGCTCATCCACTTTATGAACAGGCACCTGTGGATTCACACACTGTAAGGTCTCAATGGAAGGTATTCAGAATTGTTTCAAATATTAATAGATTTTCCATCACCCACAATTCATCGAAAGCCTTTTTTAACAACGGCTTTTGTGGACCATAAGCTCCGCCAAGCACAGGAGGGAGTGCATCCTAGAGCAGCTTCCATAAAAGAACAGTTTGGGAAATATTTCGCCTTTGCACAATTTAAAAGCTAATCCCATAGGCTAATGTTATGCGTTTAGATAATTTATGAATAAAAGGGCTATTATCAAACATGTTTATTCTTCAAATATGTTTTTATAAGCAATAAATTCTATATTACCAAACGTGCCGTTTGTTGTCATTAAATATGTGATTTGTATGGAAGTTGAATCAGTTTTGTCTTTATTAAACACAACAAAATGTATCTACACTAGACTTGACCAAAAGCAACTTTGATCAACTCAATTGCGTCACGGTGTGGGCATCTGATAATATTCACAACAATAAATTCTCTACAGATTTTTATATAAATTCTTAACTTTTGTAATGTTAACATTAAAAAAAAAAATTCTTCTCTCATTCATTATAAACTTCACTTAAAGCACTATTGAGTGATAGGGCTTTAGACATTCTTTCAGTGCTTGCTAAAGAAGTTGAGGTCTCCGCCCCTTTTATAAACATATTTCTACTCCAATGAACCGTTTGGATAGATTACAAATGCACCACCATGATTAACTCTCTAGAATAGTATATAAAAACATACATAGTTACCCTCTCTCCAAAGCTTTTATATACTCTAAAATTCTTTAGACTTCACTACCACAATCTACAAATTTGTACAAAATTACGAACACTCTAAAAACTCCAGTAATCTTGCTTAAAAACTCCAGTAATCTTGCTTTGTAGTCTTATAGTATATTTGTCACTTGATAAGTGTATTATTTAAGGTTTTATATGATATTAATTTATTGAAAATGAATTTAGTTTAGACTTGTCAAGGTTGAATCTTGATTTATGTATATTATTTTAGCATGCTCAGCCTGAATTACTGGAGTTCATTATAACGACAGTTAATCTTAGATTGGCATAATGTGTATTGTTTGAAAACATCAATTTTTAAACAAGTATTTCTTTAGTTGTTTTATTTCCTGATAGATGGCATATACATATATATATATATATATATATATGATTATAGAATTTTGTTAGCAATATTGTATTGCAACAATTAAGTTTAATGTATGAAGGTATATACATGACTCAGTACGTGTATGTGTTTAATTAAGTTTAATGTATGATATTAATTTATTGAAAATGAATTATTTAATGTATTATTTAAGGTTTTATATGATATTAATTTATTGAAAATGAATTTAGGTTAGACTTGTCAAGGTTGAATCTTGATTTATGTATATTATTTTAGCATGCTCTGCCTGAATTACTGGAGTTCATTATAAAGACAGTTAATCTTAGATTGGCATAATGTGTATTGTTTGAAAACATCAATTTTTAAACAAGTATTTCTTTAGTTATTTTATTTCCTGATAGATGGCACATATATATGTGTGTGCGTGTGTGTGTGTGTGATTATAGAATTTTGTTAGCAATATTGTATTGCAACAATTAAGTTTAATGTATGAAGGTATATACATGACTCAGTACGTGTATGTGTATGTGTTTATATAATTAATAATTAGATTTAGGACTCTTGGGATGATTATATGATTTAATATTAACCTAATTGATTGCTGTTAAAATTAATTTCAGAGACCTTATCCATCTGTTAATGATATATAATTATATACATATATATATATATATAGATACACAAAATGCATTGTTCAGAGGTTACATTGATTCGTGTTAACCATGTGGGGGTACTGGGTAATGTGTACAACAATAGTATATGTTATACGTATGTTTTCTTGTTTAAAATGACTGACTTCATTGTACATGCATCTGTGATAGGTTAGATTGCATGTTAATATTGTCTTTCATAATTGTTTTTAGTGAATGACCTGGGTTCATACCGGGCATTGAAAACGGATTGGGTTCCGCGTGCGATATAATATAATATTTCTTTTTATTTAATTATTACTTTTTTTTAATTAATTTTAAACTAAAGGAAATTAGGAAAAATAGTACTATTATTCCAAAAATTTGCAGAAAATTTCAGAATATTAGTTTTATGTATAATAAACTTAATTTGCTGAAATACATTTTTGTAGTTTTACGAAATTAAAATCCGAAAAAAATATTATTTTCAACACTAAGATGGAAAGTACGAAAAGAATGTTAAGAGTTAGTTTCTGAAATTTTGCAGGTCATATCTAATATTAGGCTATGTCTAGAATTTTTGTACTCTTAGTGGTTGGGTCATTAGTTTCTGTTTTTGAATTAAAAGTGTATTTTGGTACTTTAATTATTAATTCGGATTATTAAATATTAATGTCTTCTAGAATTTATCATAATTGATATTTAATGGATGAGTTGGATTAGTAGGAGGGGTAGTCAGGGACTGACCCTATAATGACTTTTTGGGTATGGTCAGGTGCCTATGGCCATGGGCTTAATGTGCCCTTAGTGTGTGGACGTGATCCGGGATCATCTAAGGAGTAGACGTACAACCCAGCCATACGTGTGTTTTCGGTAGTCTGGAACTATACGATTCACACCGCTTTATTGGATGGGAGTTCAGGGCTTATGTGAGATATGTGAATTTAACAAAAGTAAATGATGGTTATTTATTGAGTTTGTAATTAACTGGAGTTAACCATTTTTTTATATTTATTAATGCACTTATTTGAGTTGCGTATATATATATATATATATATATATATATATATGAAAATATAAGGTAAGGTTAGCTTGCTGAACAATGATTGTGTTTAGCATTTCTTGCTGAGTTTGTGAGCTTACCCCATTATAATATTTTAGGTACACGTTGAGTAGGAACATGATGGAATCATATTGCAGCGATGGATATTAGCTCGTTGCGCATTGATTTGTTTTAGTTTAGCTTTTCCTTATTATGATCATTATAATAAGGCTTATGTTATTTTTGTAGAACCGTATTTAGTTGGTTCAGAGAACTTGGATTAATTTAGATGATGTTATTATTATTTTGGAAGTATCTATGTAATAAACTGTTAGATGGAGTTTTACCTCAATTTATTATTTATGGTGGAAGATTGTTGAGATTTTTTATAAGTCGTACGTACTCTAAATTTTATATACGGAACAAAGGGTTATTGTGCTAAAAATTTAGGGTGTGACACTTCACCACCACAATCTACTAATTTGTACACAATTATGAACACTCTAAAAACTTGTTCCAAAGTTTGACATGCAGGCTTCGTGCAAATTTATTTATTTATTTTTCACTAATTGCGTGTTACTTCCTCCTACTTGGCGGGGTGTGGCATTAGCTCTCGATTCAACTAAGATCACTCCGGTCTCAAGCCCTCACTTTATTTTGACATTCCTAATCTAAATTCCATCATAGCCGTGCAATTACATGCATTTTAAACTATATTTTTCTATTTTTGTTTGTTTTTTCAAGAAAAGTCAATTTATAAGAAAAGAAATAATTACTGATTTTATTTTTTTATTGAATATAAATATGAAGATGTAAGAAATTTTTC